TATTATCATTCTCTTTTTTTCTTGTTTATAATCTAACTTGATAGCTATAAATAAATTATTCTTGAAAAATATTTCTTATTTTTCCTTGACGGTCATAAAAATAATCCAACATATGTTTTTATCAGTATAAGCGACACTCATTCATGTGATTACATCCTACATGATTACTAAATATTAAGACATTGATCTTTTTGAATATACTAAGTGAGATACTTAAACATTGGATGTTTTGAAAAGCTATATGTTAGTAATAATTTTTTTTTTTTTGAAAATATAGGAGGCAAAATGGAAAATTTTAAAATTTGAGGGGGGCCAAACCTACTCTCGGTTTCGTCCCTCGAAAGAATGCGTGAAGAAGCCAAGTTTCTAGAAAAAAAGGTGTCATCGTTTTTACTTACAACAAGACCTTTTGTAGAGAAGAAGGAATGTGTGACGAAGCCAAGTTCGCTAAAGCCACAGGGTCAAGATCAAGAGCCTGAGGCTGAACAGAAAGGGAAGGAGAAGTCCCAACCGAGCCAGCCATCAAAGACAATTGACTGTGCAGGGGGAAAGTCTACATGACGAAGGATAAAAGTAGTGTCGTCTTTAAACTGTTGAGAAACATAGCGCTTTCACCAAATTTTGAAAATCTTTAGGACGTCAAACATCTCAGTGAAGAAATTCACGCGGAATGAATGGTGGGCAAGAGAGTTGCGGCGAATGACTTCCAAAACATTAATATCAATCAAATTAGGCCGATTAGTAAGTTCAGTGTTGAGAGTGTGAGCAAAAAGGTAAGGAATTTGCTATTGACGCTGCAGCAACTATTGGCACCCTGAATCAACCCCAAACCATAATGCAAGACTCAGGGATAGAGATAAGAGAAACAAGTGTCTATGTGAGTAAAGTTGTGTCAAGTGGAGCCTTCCCAAGTTGATAGAGGAACCATAGTCCCCGATTCCAAGCAAGCCACATCAAATTAGGCCATTGACCATCCAAGTTGTAAAAAAAAAGAGAAACAATCTACAAAAAATTATTTCTTGGAAGGGGTCGTGGCAAATAAATGGTCGTAAGAAAAAGAGTCATTGTCAACATGCAGGATAGAGAACTCTAGAAAATAGGCACGAAGAATGAACNCTCATTATAATTTCTTAAACAGTTATGATTTTAGAACCTCGTACTGGTTTGAATAGGTAAAATCGAACATGTTTGAATCTTACATCCAATTAAACTTTAGCATATTTGTAATCCGAAAATACGTCAAATAGAATCAAATCAAATTTTTTATTTAAATATTGATTCAATACAAATAAAAATTTGAGTGAAAACTAAATGTGCTCTAACAAGAAGTGAATTATATGTTAACTAAATAAATAAATTTTGATAAGAATTTAAAAGCCGAACATGACTCGTTAATGGGCAGAAGTGTCAACGTCTTTCCTCACTCACAAGTGATCAAGTAATAGCAAAATTGAGTAGGGAGACCGGGTAGAGGGTAAATATTCAATAGAATTGTGATATTGATAGCTAGTATAACTATTAATAATAAAATATTTTATAAAACTAATACATTTTATTATTCTAATAAGTATTAATAATGAGAATCAGTGATTGCTCTAACGACAATTGCAGTTTGTCGATTGTTGGTTCAAACTACACCGTTCTTTCCCTATAATAATACAAAAATAAGTATCAACAATTAAATATGCGTAATGTTAGATAGACTTAAAAATTATATTTGATAATTTTAATTATTGAATAGGTAGTGAGTCCCAATAAATACTAAGACTCACACTAAAATTAATAGTTATAATTATTAAGTTTAGTTTTTAAATTTATTTTTAAAATTCATATAGCATTGCTTATTAAACATTCCAATAACTAATGTGGTAAGCCATTGAATTATGTGATATTTTTTTTCTCTGTTAATTAATTTTTTTTAATTAATAATACCACATATTAGTAATGACTACCAAATCATCCCTACTTCGTCCGGTGGGGTCTTGTTGGGTACAAGGACTAAACCACATATAGGACCTAGCCGCTTCTCCCCGGAGTCGCTGATGGTGGTGATAGTCAAAATCATGACAAAGTCGTCCCCCATTGACTTCTACTGCAGTTCCAATCGTAGCTTTCGAACTATATTAAAAACCGCGTTGATATGTTCCTCATAAGCTAACATTCTACACTACCGACTTCTTCTTCCTACTCCTCTCTTTCTATCTTTTTTCCTTCCAGCAACCCTATATAATCATATGTGATTTTAGCTTCATAGATTGTGAAAATCTCTGCTCATCAGTCTCGTCATCCACCACACGGCACGAACAAAAAAATCGCTTACTACGCAAACTTTCTGTCAATTCGTGGTCTAAGATATTCCGACATCCACCGATTTATCCTACTTTTAGTCTTTTCCACTTCTGAGATTCAATTATATTCCCTATGGGTTGCATATTCAGCAAAAGACGTACTCACCCACCTCCCAAATTGAGCTCCGATTCGCAAATGAAACTTGGTCTTATCTCATACATGGCCGCTTGTAGAGCCAATTCAGACCATGAATCTCTAAACTCGAAGCCCCAGCAACGCACCACCCGAGTTATCAGCACTATCGCCGGCGGCGTCCAGATTCGATCTCTTTCCTTGTACTCTCTCCGAGAAGTACCCGGTTATCTCCTCGAAAATAACGAAGAAGTGGTGAACGCAGTTCTGGAGCATAAAAAAGAAATTTGGGAAAACCCAGAACTTGTTGATCTAGTCAAGGACTATTTCGAGACCAGTCGTAAGACTATAGATTTGTTTAGTCCCTTGAAAAATGCCTCCAACGAGCCAGCGACAGGCAGGCCATTGTTCAAGCCGCGTTAAACCAATTTGATGAAGAGCACACAGAAGGGTTTCCTGGTGAAAAATCTTCGTATTCAAAAACTTTACCAGAATTTAAGAATATACAGGTGGCCGCTGACTCATTTGATGATGAGTTTTTCTCGTCGTTTCAATCAGTTTACCAACGACAATGGAAATTACTACACAAATTGCAAGTTGAAAAAGATAAACTCGATAGAAAATTGAACTCAANGATGGATTAATTTTCCTTCCAACTCACCAAAATCAATCTCTGTAAAAACGGAAAGAAAGTGGATAGAAAGTTAATTATTTGTGTTGAGATATATCTTATTTGTCTATATATATTTTTATATATACATATATTATGTATACATTAATTTCATATAAAAATACAATAGTAAAATATGTGTATATTTTTTCCATCTTAACTAAAGGTGAAAATTTTCGACTCAACACGATCACACTACTCGAACTTGATACAAAAATAAACAGGTCAACTCGTAACTCGATACGAAATAATTAGTTAAATGAGTTAAGTTAGGTTTGACTAATATTCGATACAAACCCGTAATGATTCAACACGAATCTGATATGACATGACTCAATTGTCACCCCTAATTTTAACCAGCACAAAAAAAAAAATAGTCATTTTTATTTTTCATCCATCCAACCAAATGCAAAGGAAAGAAAGTGTATCCTTCTACTTTCCATCTNCAGATTCGATCTCTTTCCTTGTACTCTCTCCGAGAAGTACCCGGTTATCTCCTCGAAAATAACGAAGAAGTGGTGAACGCAGTTCTGGAGCATAAAAAAGAAATTTGGGAAAACCCAGAACTTGTTGATCTAGTCAAGGACTATTTCGAGACCAGTCGTAAGACTATAGATTTGTTTAGTCCCTTGAAAAATGCCTCCAACGAGCCAGCGACAGGCAGGCCATTGTTCAAGCCGCGTTAAACCAATTTGATGAAGAGCACACAGAAGGGTTTCCTGGTGAAAAATCTTCGTATTCAAAAACTTTACCAGAATTTAAGAATATACAGGTGGCCGCTGACTCATTTGATGATGAGTTTTTCTCGTCGTTTCAATCAGTTTACCAACGACAATGGAAATTACTACACAAATTGCAAGTTGAAAAAGATAAACTCGATAGAAAATTGAACTCAAAGATTGCATGGAGGAAGGCCTCAAATGTGCTATTTGGGGTCACTTTTGTTGCGGTGCTGATTTGCTCTGTGGTTGCTGCGGCCATGTCGGCGCCACCAGTGGTAACGGCTTTGGCCGCCGCGGCATCTGCATCATTGGGTTCAACGGGTAAATGGCTGGATTCGACTTGGACAAATTGTGTGAAAGTAATCGAAGAACAAAAGGAGATAATCAGATTGATCCATGTTCACACTGAGTACTATGCGATTGAGGGGTTGAAAACCATTGGTGAGCTAGTGAATAAGTTGGAAGAGTTGAAGTCGTTGTGGGGTGTGATTGATCATGGTTTGAAAAAGGAGGCGGCTGTGGTGATGGTGGTTAATGAGATAAGTAAGAAGCAAGATGTGTTTGTACGAACCGTGGGTGAGTTGACAAGAAATTACAAGAGCCAGGAAGAGGATCTTTGATCAAATTAGCCAGAATCCCAAGAGTAGCAGCTGTTGTAGCACTTTAGTATGCTTTACTCAGTGGTCTTACTCTACATCACATAGAAGAGCGGTTGCGGGGTCCAAGACCCAGAGCATAAAAGCCACAAAATTCAAAAAATAAAATTAGAGCGAAAACGCTTTTAGAATAGAAGAGAAGAAAGCGATTAAAACCTAATTTACTCATCTCATTCGTCTTATATGCATGTACAACTTTATTTATAAAAAATAAAAATTAGTCATCACTCCAATTTGAGGGATTAAATATTGAGTTGTACTATTTTTCATTTAATCGGATTTAATAGTTTGTTTGGTAAATAAATTTGATACCATATTAATTTCAAAAATCTATATTAATCGTATACTTATTGTATATTTTTTATATAATAAATCTGTATTATGAAGGTATTTTAATAACACTAAGAGAGTTAGTATTATAATTTAAATTATTCTACACATTGACTATTATAACCCTCAATTGATAAAATCAAATTGTCATCAATATAACAAACACTAATTTGTAGTATTTTTGTTAATTCAACATTAATTCTATAAAATAATTCTCTAACCAAAAAATCGATTGAATTAAATAATTATTATTCAACGTATATGTTATATATTGTNCCCACCTCCCAAATTGAGCTCCGATTCGCAAATGAAACTTGGTCTTATCTCATACATGGCCGCTTGTAGAGCCAATTCAGACCATGAATCTCTAAACTCGAAGCCCCAGCAACGCACCACCCGAGTTATCAGCACTATCGCCGGCGGCGTCCAGATTCGATCTCTTTCTTTGTACTCTCTCCGAGAAGTTCCCGGTTATCTCCTCGAAAATAACGAAGAAGTGGTGAACGCAGTTCTGGGGCATAAAAAAGAAATTTGGGAAAACCCAGAACTTGTTGATCTAGTCAAGGACTATTTCGAGACCAGTCGTAAGACTATAGATTTGTTTAGTCCCTTGAAAAATGCCTCCAACGAGCCAGCGACAGGCAGGCCATTGTTCAAGCCGCGTTAAACCAATTTGATGAAGAGCACACAGAAGGGTTTCCTGGTGAAAAATCTTCGTATTCAAAAACTTTACCAGAATTTAAGAATATACAGGTGGCCGCTGACTCATTTGATGATGAGTTTTTCTCGTCGTTTCAATCAGTTTACCAACGACAATGGAAATTACTACACAAATTGCAAGTTGAAAAAGATAAACTCGATAGAAAATTGAACTCAAAGATTGCATGGAGGAAGGCCTCAAATGTGCTATTTGGGGTCACTTTTGTTGCGGTGCTGATTTGCTCTGTGGTTGCTGCGGCCATGTCGGCGCCACCAGTGGTAACGGCTTTGGCCGCCGCGGCATCTGCATCATTGGGTTCAACGGGTAAATGGCTGGATTCGACTTGGACAAATTGTGTGAAAGTAATCGAAGAACAAAAGGAGATAATCAGATTGATCCATGTTCACACTGAGTACTATGCGATTGAGGGGTTGAAAACCATTGGTGAGCTAGTGAATAAGTTGGAAGAGTTGAAGTCGTTGTGGGGTGTGATTGATCATGGTTTGAAAAAGGAGGCGGCTGTGGTGATGGTGGTTAATGAGATAAGTAAGAAGCAAGATGTGTTTGTACGAACCGTGGGTGAGTTGACAAGAAATTACAAGAGCCAGGAAGAGGATCTTTGATCAAATTAGCCAGAATCCCAAGAGTAGCAGCTGTTGTAGCACTTTAGTATGCTTTACTCAGTGGTCTTACTCTACATCACATAGAAGAGCGGTTGCGGGGTCCAAGACCCAGAGCATAAAAGCCACAAAATTCAAAAAATAAAATTAGAGCGAAAACGCTTTTAGAATAGAAGAGAAGAAAGCGATTAAAACCTAATTTACTCATCTCATTCGTCTTATATGCATGTACAACTTTATTTATAAAAAATAAAAATTAGTCATCACTCCAATTTGAGGGATTAAATATTGAGTTGTACTATTTTTCATTTAATCGGATTTAATAGTTTGTTTGGTAAATAAATTTGATACCATATTAATTTCAAAAATCTATATTAATCGTATACTTATTGTATATTTTTTATATAATAAATCTGTATTATGAAGGTATTTTAATAACACTAAGAGAGTTAGTATTATAATTTAAATTATTCTACACATTGACTATTATAACCCTCAATTGATAAAATCAAATTGTCATCAATATAACAAACACTAATTTGTAGTATTTTTGTTAATTCAACATTAATTCTATAAAATAATTCTCTAACCAAAAAATCGATTGAATTAAATAATTATTATTCAACGTATATGTTATATATTGCCAAATATTAAATAAAATTACATATTATTCTAATAACTTATTTAATCTTATTTATTAGATTGAATTATTTTATATATTCTATAAATTTCTAATATGAGAATCAAACGGGCTCTTAAAACATTAAGGACATGTCAGTTGTTTTTTATTTGTTCGTCCAATATAATTTAATCGTATTTTTTTTATGAGCAGGGTACCCTTTAAACTCACAGTAATTTCATTATTTTTCAAAAATATTCTCTCTATTCGTTCTCTCTCTTCCCCCACACTCTCTCTTGGTTCTCTCTCCTCCCTACCCAGAAAGTTTCATGCCAAGATCGAGATAGATATCATAACATGTTGCTTGCATAGAGTAAAAACGTACCAAGAATCTGTGGAGTACTCAAACAGATTTCCTTTATGGGAGAAAACAATCAAACCCACTTGTCTTTAATCGCACAGCACAGAGATCTCATGAGCTTTCTTCAACAACCCAGCCCTTCTCTTTGAGAATGTCACTTGACTCACTTGTCTGTTGGTGTTGTTCTCTAAACGCTTCATCTATACCTTTCCTCTCCCTCCTCTCCCCCCTCTCTCGCCCTTAAGACCAACCCCATAGCAACAGATATCACCTCTACAACAATGCCGCAGCCGTCGACAATAGCAACAACGACAGGTAGCTTCAACGCTGGTTGTGTTGCTGTCGGTGGAGATACCAGCGGTGATGCACCTTTATTTTGCGTTTTGTTTTTATTATTTTCGAAATAGATCCAAAGTCTTCTAGGCAAGATTGCAATCATCCTCGTGCATGCATCCTTAACACAGTCAAAATAATCTTTAGTCATAAGGGCTTAGGGAGGACAGTTCCTTTTTTAGATTTATTTGAGTTTAAGTAAACTCAAAAAATTTATTTGGGAATAAATTTATTTTGATCTATATTGTCTAAAATATTTTCAATGGTTATATTTAGTCAAAATTTATTTAAAAAAACTAAAAATTCCTAATTGAAAATTGTATTATTATTAACAACTCATATCTTAGAAATTGTGCTAGAATTAAAATTATGGTCATATCAATACACACACACACACACACATATATATATAATATAAAACAGAGCGGTTTCAACAAGTCGATCTTACGGTCTCAAATTCATTCATCCAACGATCAAAAAATTACAATTGTTTTCCTTAATATTTCCTTCCCCAAATAGTCAACGATTACAGTTGATTTTTGGAACACATTCTACGGTCTCAAATTCATTTATCCAATGCTTAAAAAATTATAATTTTTTTCCTTAATATTTTCCCCCTTAAAAAGTCAACGATTACAACTGATCTTAGAATACATAATTTTCTCTGACATAATAATTAAATGGATCAAATTAGCCATTAATATCTTATGTGTACTGTAATATTTGAAATTTGTATAAGACACAATGATAACATTTTAATTAAAAAAAAACTCATCAATTTAAGATAAAACAAAAATAAGGGCATAACTTAACACATTTATATTGAATATAATTAATTTTAATTTTATTTATTTAATTAATTATCTCAAACTAACATATTTTATACATATCTTGAATCAAAAATTCAAGACTAATTTTTTTTTATATCTAAAGGAAACCCAACACTAATATATTCTTTTAAATTAATAATTTTGTAATAGCTTGTACTAATTAAAAAAATAATATTTTATAAATGATATTTGTAGATCTTTTTTTGATAGAAAATATTTTGGCGATATGCTTTTTGATAAATTAAATTTTTTAGTTTGTATTAAATTTAACTCGATTTTGATTACATGTATATAAATTAACATTTGTTTTAAGTCAATTTTATAATATTTCGTGGATTTATCTATAATATCCATAATATAAAATAGAGCGGTTTCAATAGGCTTATCCTACAATATAAAATTTATTTATCCAACGGGTACCAAAATCTCTCTCAAAATCATTCATATTGAATGTTACCCTTCTTTTCTCACTCTTCACTCTTTCTCTCTAGCGATGGTAGAGGAGGAGGGGTCTGAGGCCACCCTAAAAAAAATATTTTTTTTTAGTTATATAAGTTTTATATATTTTTTTGGATTAATTGGGCCCATTGCAATGATTTATGAAAAAAAAACTAATTAGATCAAACAAGTTGGGTACTAGAACAAAAATAAAAAGTTCATACTAATCTCTTAAAATTAGCAAATTAAAATTGATTATTTAAAGTATTGGTTTGATTTGTTGAAATCTCATTTAGTTCAAAAAATATGAAATACATAGTCAAATGAGTAAAATATGGAGTTTGTAATATATAATATAAAATAAGATGGCTTCAATAAGTCCATCTTACGGTCTCAAATTCATTTATCAAACGATCAAGAAATTATTATTTTTTCCTTAATATTCCCCCCTAACCGGTCAATGATTACTGCTAATTTTGGACACATCCTACGATCTCAAATTTATTCATCCAAAGGTCAATAAATTACCATTTTTTCCTTAATATTTTTCCTCCAATCGGTTAACAATTGCGACTGATCTTGGAACACAAGACCTTTATTAACATTATAATTTTTTTTTTGTTAACATTATAATTAAATGAGTTAAATTTGGCATTAATATCATATGTGTAGTGTAACATTTTGAATTTTTATAAGACATAATAATAACATTTTGATTAAAAAAAAACTCATT